TGCCTTCTGCCTCCTGGTTCCTGCCTCCTGGCCCCTGCCTTCTGCCCCCTAGTTCCTGCCTCGTGGCTGCCTGCGCCTCCTGGGCGGCCAGGACTAGCTGTGTCGCCCGCTTCACCTGCTTCTCCTGCTCCGCCTGCGCCTCTTGCGCCCACTACGCCGCCTATCTGTCTGCACGTTCCAGCCTTTGGATATATCGTTTTTCTGCAAGCTCGTTTTTCTTGGCCTGCCTCTGGAATGAGAAAAGAGAAAGATACTATTAAGAGAAGACAATATTAATGCTTAGGCTAAGTTGCAGTGAACACAGTAACAATATATATGAAAATAAGTAAAACAAAATTAGAAACGTCTAAGTAGTATAAGTAAGGATAACATAATGGTGACTGTGGCAATACAAGTAGCAGTAACGGCACTCATACATAATATCTTCTCGCGATTTTGAGCATCATCCAGTGCTCTCTCTTTCTGTGGAAGAAAATGTTATGCTTAGAAAAACAATAAAAAGTAAAACCACTAAGCACTACCAGAGCCATCTATGGACAGACATTTCACAAAAAAATAAAGAAATAGGCACAGCGTTTTTCCCCTTTTTTTCATTTTCCAAGGCGAATGTCTTTTCAATTATCGAAAAAATATGGCCTATCGTCACGAAACAAATGGACATTTCACATCAAATAATAACTGACTTACCAGTTTGGTGAGCATTTCCTTCGGCATCGTTAAGGTGTTGTCGTAACAGGTTAGAAACTGCTTCACTTTTCGCCCGGTCCGCCTCGCACAGGTCCAAAACGGCCAGTGAACGGTTACGCCACGCGAGACGCCTCTCAGCTGATTACTGTCAACAAACCTCCCAACATGGCCGACGCTCCGTGCGGGAATTGCTGTCCATTTATATGAATTAGACTATCCCATTTTAGACGCAGCTTTAATGCAAAACATTTCATTTTCTTTTGAATATGATACTTATTTCCATAACTCATAAAATATTTGAAAATATATACTGTCCTTTTATATGTACCTGTGATAGATGAGTTATGTATTTATTCCCTTTTCATGCTGCTTGATTTTTCTTTTTCTCTTGTATATATAACATCTTTCATCATCGTATTGCATTGATGCGTGTATATTTATATATATATATTTACTGAAAGTTTAAAAAACTCAAGGATTGTAAATTCTGTCATATTTACCATAATTCATGTCTAATAAAATATTTTTTGTTTCACCACTTGTTTTTTTCATGTTGTGTACTTGGGGGGAAATTAAATTAAATGTATTTATCAAAAAGGTATTTAAAATATATGAAACTTCTTTTTACACTATATCACAGTCTGAACCTATCCTGAGTATTATCACTCAGATAATGATAATGTTAATGATGATAACAATATTTACAATTACGATAATAATAATGAAAAAATTATAACGGTAACAATAGTCATAATAATGGTGGTGATGATCACGGGATACCATTCATAAATTAACACATAGAACCGCAACAATTTTAATACTAATTATACCAACAACAGCAGAAAACAATAACAATTAATAATAACAACATTAACTTAACAGTGACAACAAAAATACGAACAGCAAGGCCAAGAGACACGCATCGGTCCATTAACACAGCAGCCATATCGCAACTCTCCCTGTCATCTTTAGCACTGTTCAAGAAGCCCGACTCTTCATTACTTGGAAGTTGACTTAAAACTTTGTACACCGAGAACAAATCCTAAGACAAATGGCACTGAGGAAGCGGGAAGCGAGGAAGCACATTGTCGGAAAACTCTACGAGGAAACTACGACGCTAGAACGGAACTTAAAAATGGGAAAAGATGCTCAGCAAAAATAAACACGGTAATGGGGGAGGATCATGTGGTCTGCTCCTCCTGGTGGAAGTTTTCTCGTGCGATATTAATTGTTTAAAGGGGCTTTTCCCTCACCGGCGAGAAAAAAGACCCGCTGTTTGAAATACCACTGCCTTTGCACACAGATACCCTTGTATATACTTAAGAACATTCTACTTATGAACATTCCATACATACAAACAAAAATTTTGAAGTGCTAAAGTCCAAAAAATTGTTTGAAAGATGCTAGCAAATTTCCCGGGCACGAATATAGTTCAAGAGTCTGGTACTGTATAAGGTATGTCGTACTTATTGGGATTTATTTACAGGTATTCTTAATGTAAACAAAACGTTAAAACAATGTGAAAAAAGGTAATGGAGACCCGACTTTCGACAGACAAACAAATCAACTTACAAACAGCCTCTCGGTCCCCATTATGATCTTAAGTTGGGGACTTACTGTATGTATGTGTGTGTGTGTGATTCGTGCGCGTGAGCATGTGCCACTACCATTACACACACACACATGTGTGTGTGTGTGTGTGCGCGTGTGTGTGTGTGTGCATATGCATGTGCATCTATCCTCCTATGCACACACACGAAATGTGTTTGTTAGTGGCCGTACCATCTTTCATCTGGTTTGTTTCGACAGCCATTTGCGCGATCAAGGTCTCAGTTGCCGTAATTTGGGAGCACTAAAGTTGCAGTCGACTTCCACACTCTCCTTCGGGGTCTTACGCTTTCGGCTTCTGCTTTGAAGGCCATCAAACATTAAACTCGGATTTGAAGTCAGATAATTCAGCAAGAATTCGTACGCAATATTTGCCATCTACAAAACAAACCTCTAAATTAGACACATCAGAAATTAAAGAATAAATCAAACAGAAATACTTCACACTCTAAAAGAGAATTTGTTATAATCAAATGTTTCTTAAATTAAGAAAGTAAGTAAAACCTAACAGTTCTAACAGATAATTCTGACAAATAGACACAACATCAGCGTCCTAGAAATTGCATGAAAACACGACTGAATACCAGTTACATGTCGACATAGTGACTGACTTCATAAAATTAATCGTTTTGAAACCAAAGACGATGACGCATTCATAAGCCAACAACTTAACCGTAATTTCATTAACGGCCCATTCCCTAATATATATATATTTTTTTTCATTTTTGACTTGGCTTCTCTTTTAAACCTGTCACTGAATATGAAGGTGATAAAGATAATCAGTTAAATGCAGTTCAGTTGCCCGGGTCACGATCAATATCCAATCAGGGTGATTAAAGCTGCTTTAAATCCCGCCATAAAACATTTGGTCCACATTTTGAAACTGTTTCGCATGTCAGAATATTCCCTGATTTTTTTTCAGTTTTTTGTTTCTCTTTGTTTTCAAATTAAGATCAGATCACTACGATTTCTAAGTGTAGTATCCTAGGGATAATCCTAGGGAGTTAATGTCCGACAGACGAAATAAAAGCGTCCATGTGATCAAAAGAAATGTTTTGAAAGGGAAAAATAACTTCGTGGGGTAACTATTGAAAATAATATTAAATGAAAAGCGTATATTCATTATGTATGTGAGTCTGTCTATGTGTGTGTGTGTGTGTGTGTGTGTGTGTGTGTGTGTGTGTGTGTGTGTGTGTGTGTGTGTGTGTGTGTGTGTGTGTGTGTGTGTGCTGCCTCGGATCGTTTACACAGATGTGCAATGGAGTAGCTAACAATAGTATTGCTTGTATTTGCTCTACTAACACTCCCATTTTTTCCTTCTCTCTTTCCCCCATTCAACTTTTTAATTCCTTCGACACACTTATTGAACACAACACGAACGGCCCTTACGAACCCCCACACTCATACACACTCCACCTCCTCCTACACCTTGTAACGCCGCCCCCCCCCCCCCCCAACCAAAACACTCGACTGACTTCACCCCCCCACTCAGTGCCATCTCCCATTGCTTCTGCCCCCCCCCAACCCCCCACTCCCTTTCTCCCCAATTCTTCTTCCCCTTCCTTCCCCCGCTCCCCCTCCATTGCCCCTCTCCCCTCGCTTCCCCCCCCCTTCTACTTCCTTTTTCCCTCACTCCCTCCTCCCGCACTCCCTTCCCCTCCCGCACTCCCTCCTCCTCTCCCGTGCCCCCAACCATGACCCAACACGACCCAGCATCACCCCCAAATACCTTAATCCCACGGCTTCTCAACATTAACTTTTGCAGCATTATATCCAAAAAGACCCAACTCCTCCACACTATTAACACGTACATCATTAACACGTATATCATAAGTTCAGAGACATGATTGCCCCTGACAGACTATGTGGAAGTCTTCCCTCCCCCTTATAGCATGACAGTAATATGCAGAGGAACAAACTGCGAGATCACCCAGATCCAACTACAAATTTCTAACTGTAGGTCACTCTTGCTCTCCGCTTTCTACAGACCCCCATCTTCCAACGCAGAATGCTCACAAAATATTGACACATTTCCCACACCCATCACTCCAGACTAACACATTTGGATTGCAGGTGACTTCAACCTCCCTGATATCGATCATTATATCCCCTCTTGACCCCAATGACACAGACTCCCGAAGCCCCATCATCCCACGCACGAACAGGCGGCAACTACACGACACCTTCATTATCATGAATACTTTCTTAATATCATAAACAGTACTAAGTGACACGACATCGGTCTTGTTGATGCAAACTTCCAACGGGTCAGACAGAAAAGCAGGCGAGGACCTATTTCCAAAACTTGGTAGTAACTGGAATAGCCTGAAACATTCCATACACACTTCCATCACATAAAACAAAAATACCTTTGAATAGTGTACACCCCCTGGTTCTCCAGAGACCTACGCAGATAGTGTCAAAGAAAACAGAACGTTAAAACAATGTGAAAAAAGGTAATGGAGACCCGACTTTCGACAGACAAACAAATCAACTTACAAACAGCCTCTCGGTCCCCATTATGATCTTAAGTTGGGGACTTACTGTATGTATGTGTGTGTGTGTGTGTGTGATTCGTGCGCGTGTGCATGTGCCACTACCATTACACACACACACATGTGTGTGTGTGTGTGTGTGTGTGTGTGTGTATGCGCGTGTGTGTGTGTGTGTGCATATGCATGTGCATCTATCCTCCTATGCACACACACGAAATGTGTTTGTTAGTGGCCGTACCAGATCCAACTACAAATTTCTAACTGTAGGTCACTCTTGCTCTCCGCTTTCTACAGACCCCCATCTTCCAACGCAGAATGCTCACAAAATATTGACACATCTCCCACACTCATCACTCCAGACTAACACATTTGGATTGCAGGTGACTTCAACCTCCCTGATATCGATCACTATATCCCCTCTTGACCCCACTGACACAGACTCCCGAAGCCCCATCATCCCACGCACGAACAGGCGGCAACTACACGACACCTTCATTATCATGAATACTTTCTTAATATCATAAACAGTACTAAGTGACACGACATCGGTCTTGTTGATGCAAACTTCCAACGGGTCAGACAGAAAAGCAGGCGAGGACCTATTTCCAAAACTTGGTAGTAACACCATACACACTTCCATCACATAAAACAAAAATACCTTTGAATAGTGTACACCCCTTGGTTCTCCAGAGACCTACGCAGATAGTGTCAAAGAAAACAGAACTCTACAGACGCACGCGAACACACATCACACCAGTGAATTGGGTCGCCTTTAAATCCTTCCAAAAAATAAAGAAGACCGAACGCAAACACATCAGTAAATATCTCACAGACAACATAAGAAACAACCCTAGGCACACCAACTCAACACACAGGTCTAATGATCACACAAGAAAACCCTATTACGCCGATCATGCTAAACAGCACCCACCCACCCACCCGACTCTTGACGTCGGACCAGACGGAATACAAAAACAACCAAATCAACTGGACCCGACAAAATCCCTTCCTTCTTCCTCAAAACCTGTGGCCCCATCCTTACCCCATCCTCCAAACCGCATTGACGCATTCGCTCAGAACGTCCTCTCTCTCATCCGTCTGGCTTTGTGCAGACGTCTCCTCTATTTTCAAGGCTGGACTGATCCATCAAATCACCGCCCCCTCACCTCCATCATCTCCAAAATCTCCGAACACAACATACACACGCTCTGCGCTTAAAACCTATTGAGATTACGCGCGCACGTGTGTGTGTATATATATATATATATATATATGTATAGAGAGAGAGAGAGAGAGAGAGAGAGAGAGAGAGAGAGATAACACATACACACATTAACATTTCCATCATTATTATTATCATTATAATTATTATCATTAAATTCAATGTGTGTGCACACGTGTTCGCTTGCTTAAATGTGTGCATGGTCACATGTACACGTGCATGATGAATGCACACACGCGCAGATGCACACACACACGCGTATACATATACATACATACAAACATATATATATATATATATATATATATATATATATATATATATATATATATATATATATATATATATATTCATATATATACGTATTTAACAACACACTTTTTTATTCCACTGCAGGACACTGGCTTCTCTTAATTCAGGATTGAGAAGTTATTTGGCAGTACTGTCTTCACCTGATTGGATGCCCTTCCTAATTAGCCGCGGTTCGGCGACTTCCACTACGACACCTGCGTTTTGATTTATACACACACACACACACACACACACACACACACACACACACACACATATATATATAATATTATATGTATGTATATATATGTATATATATAAGATGCCATGAGGTCACTGGTCGTCTGTTTTATTTTTAAAGGACATAAGTTTGATGAATTATACAGAAATAAATTTTCTATATTATCTGAAAAAGAGCCCTCTGCTCTCAGTCCCTCAATTGCCTTGCTGTATTTCTTGACCAGCCGATACACCAGTTAGTCTGTGTTCCTGTCGAAGTTGTGGAGAATATTACATAGTTTGCACGGAGGACGAGATGCCACGCACATAATCAATAACGGCTAAATGCCAACCCCAGACACCAGAGGCATTACTGAGCATACCCTTTTGCGTGGTGCAAGGGCTCCTGGCCAAGCGCCGTGAGACTTGCGAGGACCATTCATCCTTGGCCTGGAATCGCCGAGTACATAACATCCTGCTTTCGGCAATTCACTCCGGTTTAGAGCCAGTCCCTCGGCCTTTGATCTTTAATGAGACCTTACTGCGGCCACCTCGTCGGCGATGTTTGGCTCTTGCACAAGACGGATTTTCATTGGTGTCGTTTTTTTCCTATTTTAGAATATTCTTGATCGCTGTGGTTTAAGAGCGAAGGTGCCAAATGACACGTAGGTTATCTCTATCATACTTGGTTTTGATCATTATTTGGGATTGCTCTTTGATCTTTCATTATTGTTGTGTTGATACTATACCCTTTTAACTTTATTATAAACAGAATACATATTGATTGATCTTGATGAAAGAAATTACCGAAGCCCATAGCATAAAACGTTTGTGAAATAAAGCAGAACTTGTGCTTTGTTTCCTACAAATGCGTTCCTTTTAAGGGATTTAGGAAATCTGAGTTTCCACGTGAGAAATTTCTTTGTCCACCAATGCCATTTGAAATTTAGGTAATCGTTTAATGAATTCTGGGAGAAT